CCTCTGGGCAGAGCTGCTTCCCAGCAGGTCAGCCCCCAGCCTGGACTGGTGCCTGGGGTTCAACCTCCCCAGGGGCAGCACCCGACACTTGGCCCTTGTTGAACTCCATCAGGTTCCTCTGCGCCCAACTCTCCAGCCTGGCCAGGTCCCGCTGGATGGCAGCGCAGCCTCCCCATGGATCAGCCACTCCTCCCAGTTTGGTGTCAGCAGTGAACTTGCTGGGGGTACACTCTGTCCCCTCGCCCAGGTCATTGATGAACAAGCTGAACAAGACCGGGCTGAGTACTGAGCCCTGGGGAACCCCATGAGCTCCCAGCCTCCAACTGGACTCTTCCCCGCCAATCAGAACCCTCTGAGCTCTGTCCTTCAGCCAGTTCCCAATCCACCTCACGTCCACTCATCCAACCCACACTTCTTGAGCTTCCCTATGAGGATGTTATGGGAAACAGTACCAAAAGCCTTGCTGAAGTCAGTCTCTTGGTAGCGGCTCTGACTGGGCATCGCCAGTTGGTAACTACTCTAAAAATCAAAACTTGGCCTCCTTGGACCTCTTTAAAGGTCTGGGACATCAAACCTGCTCTCCTGCATCTCCTCCCGTGCTGCTTTGATGCTCACAGAGCCTCGCTTGTATTTAAACTTCTTTTTGCACCATGCAAAGGCTTCGAAAAATCACACCAGAGCCTGAGTTTCCTCCGTCGATCCCAATTGATGGCGTAATTACGGAACTTCTTAACCAGCAGCGTTAACACAGCACTGGGGCTGTCTCCTCTTGGGTAAATATTTAGGTGGTTTTCTAATAGTCTGGAGATGATTTGCACTCGGGAGGAGTAATTAGGCGGTGGGAAAGCGTGGATGAAGGGTTTCTTTGCCAGCTGCCGGTCTGATGCTTTGCCAGAGCCGGTCGGCCTGCTGGACAGATGCATCTCACCTGGATTTTGCCGTGGATGAGACGGGCTCTCGGGTGGTTAAACTGCCTCCGGGCTGGGAGTTAATTCCCAGCAAGAGCCTGTCATGGGAGATGCTCATTGCCTGTCCACGTGTAATAGCGTGACTTCTGGCCAGAAGAAAAAAGCTGGGCACAAAATCCCCCAAATGTTAATACTGCGGATATATTTTTCCTATCTAGAAATTAAAAACCAGTGGCGTGAGGCTGTCGCAGCCTTTCTTTTATTTACTTATCTATTTATTTCTTTAGTGATTCCTCCTTTCTGGCCAAGATGTGGTTGTCAGGTTCCTTGAACTAAAGGGATGGCGCATGAGCACAGGAGCATGTTCATCCCCAAGAGTCTGCTTTTATGCCCGGGTATTAAATATTTAGAGAGATTGGCTGCTGCCCTGGCTTCGGGGATAGCCCGTCCTGCTGAGCTTGCTTTAAGGAGCGTTATACATAATTGTGGAGAGCTGAAGGATGTTTCGTCCCTATCCTAATGGTTGGACTTCAATCTGGGGCTTTCTCCCAGCATCAGCTGGGAGGTCAACCTTGCTCGAGCGCGCCCGGCCTCTTAACCCACGTCCACGCTAAGAGATGCTCCGCGGCATCTTCGGAGCGCCCCGAAGTTGATGGTGAATTTATTTTGGCGCTGAAAACCAGTTGATAAGATGCTCCTACAGCAAAAAAAATACACCCCCCCGCACCGGAGAGGTGGCTCAAATGCCTGGTTGATACTCAAACGCGCTTGCGGCAAGCTCGAGTGAGCTTGCGGCGAGCTCGAACGTGCTTGCCCCGGTGAGTTGCCTGGAGCTTGCTCGAGTCCTCTGATCGACAGGCGTGTGCCGCCCGTGCCGGCATCGCGCCTGCGCCAACCGCTTTGGTTTGCAGAGGGAACAGATGGGGGC